GGTGAAAGGAGATGCAAATAAAAAAGCATTACCAGGAGAGTCACAAGATACAGTGACTTGAATTTGAATATTCCTAGTTAGCAAGAACGTTTTTAAAGATTTGGGGGGGAAAAATCCATTTAAAGAGTGTGGCATCTCCTGCCATCTCAGGGAATCCATGAGCCAACGGAAGCCGCCAAGCCCCAGCAGAGTCACGGCAAGCGGACTGGGTGAGAACCAGCGAATGACCATGACCGGTCTCCAGTCTCCACCCAAGGATGGAAACCCGCAGTGTTCTAAGCAGGCACCAGGGGGGTCATCAACTCTCCAAGAGACAAAAAATGAAGAAATAAACTGGGGGCCACCCAGAAACACTTAACAAATTAGGACAAATTGGTAAAGAGCCGTTAACAGGGTGAATTAAGGAGTTTTCACAGTAATTGTGACTCTAAGAAATTCTGCCTTAGGGATAATTCTAGAAGTAAAATCTGACCCTATCTTCTGAACTAAAGATATAAAATATCATCCAAAAATAATATATATCGACTCAAGTTCTTAAGAGTCAAACAGTAATTCAGACTAGCTCTTGCCTTTTCATTAAATGAAATCATGAATCCCAGGATGAAAAAGTTAAGTGGAAATGATGTTCAAATGATGGAGACGGCACTGAAAGCCAGTTATCATTCACGTAAATAGTAGAAGCAGAGAGAGAACCCATTCCTAGTTATGCAGAATACACTGAGATGTCTTTACCTCTTCTAGAGGATTAAAACCTTTATGGAAAACCACTTAAAAGCCTTTTAGTGACGTTAGATGATCAATATTGTTTACAGAAAAATATCTCTCAATACAGAAACCATCAAAAATAAATTAACTAGTACAAAAAAATCGAGACTTTTTAAGTCTGGGATAGTTGAAGCTGGGATGAGATAAAGCTTATCTTTGTACTTCCTACAATCTTAGTTCTTCAACAGAGAATGGGTTTAAGATGAAACATTGTCAACAGAGCATTAAAATGCTTACTGGAACATTGGTTATTCGTTTGTTCTAGTAAGCACTAGTCAAAATGCTTAATAAAACAAACTATTTTAAGAACTTTATTTTAGTGCATTTTCATTTTAGTAGCACTCACTTGCAGAAGAACAAACTCATATGATATAGTAAAGAACGTCCAAAATCAGAAAGTCTTTGCCTGCTGATCTGACACTAGAAAAGCTTTACAAAAAAAAATAACAAAAATGACACTAATGAAAAACTGAACTTGTCAGACGTCTTAGCCATTCAGAGAGCTTCAACATAGACCTGTATTGACTGCAAATTTTTGAGAAGAGACTCAAAGACTACCTAAAGATGCAAAAATTTTAAGAATGAAAAACATGTAGCTGCTTAAATCAATTAACAACAATTGTTCATTTAAAAGGAAGGAAAAGAAGCAATACAAGTCAGGGGGCTGAACCAAGCACTTTTTCCATTGTCCTTTGCAGCTACAGAGAGTTCCAGTAGCAAGACACACAGATGGGACAATGGTATAAATCCAAACACTGAGGAATGAAAATGTAAATACAGCAGTGTTTCGATTATTTTTCAGAGCTGAGGACAGAGAAGTACGTGTCTGTGTGCTCATGTGTGTGTTCTGCTCTCTCTGATGGTGGGTTAGGCGCTGAGTGAAGGGTACCACCACCCCAGGAAGACGGGCACTCACACCCCACGGTACAAGGAAGGAGCCTGCGGCACTGGGATTAAGTGTGGAGCCACGCCTCTCCTACCATGAGACACAGCTCATCACTGAGGGCCTGACTAGAGGTACATGTCAACTCTTTGCTAAAGAGATTGTGTATTCTTGAGAAATTCAGTCAGCCAAGAAAGAGACAGGGACACACCTACCGGATTAGGATGAGTGAAGTCACTTTCCCATAGTCAGCTGGTGTGAAAACTACTCCAACCCTTTTCATTTCCAAAGGCTGCAAATGTAAGTGGAGGACGCCAAACCCGGATTCTTCAGCATGCACACCCTGCAAAGTATTCATAAATGCAATTAACTCCCGGAGAGCAAGCGTCCGTTAAGTGCATTGTGGACGATAAGCATGACTGCTTTTTCTTTAATGTCTAGACCAGCCAAATCAACCTGTGAAACTTGTTTATCCTGAGAGCCCACGTCCATCCATGGTGCCCCAGCCACAGCTGAGCAGCAGAGGCAGAGGCAGAGGCTGCAGGACAACCTGACACGGACGCTGGAAAGGGGACCTGCTTCCTGGAGCGGATGGGAGCTGGGGCTAGAGGCCTTTGATGGAATGATGCTGTGAATGTAAAACATCACCTAGAAAACAGACCACATAGCCTTTGCTCAAACACTACAGGGATCTGACCGAGCCACCCATCCACTGCTGGTCAACCCTAACTTCACTTTAATGTCAAGTTTAAGTTTATAAACAAACCATCTTCATTATATTTAGTCTCTCCATTCAGGAGAAAGATCTTTATTTATTCACATCCTCTTTTATTCTCTCCAAGATTTCTAACCTTCTCTGGATAAAATTTTGTGTTCTAAATTTAACATTCAAGACTTGGTTCTTTATCACTGTGGTAGACTTTCCCTCTTTCCACTGTTTTTTCTAGCTCCTTCTCACTGAAAATAATTTATTAATTTTTTTAGAGCTAACTGTACAGTCTGCTTAGTATTTCTCTCTTCTGTATTTTTAGGTTTTAAGTTTGTTTTATCCTTCAGTTATTGCTAGCATTTCCCACGCTACCTAAAAGAAGAAACAGTGATGGTTATCTGATTCACTTTCATTAAAATTACAAACTTCATGAGGGAGAAACTCTGCTTTATACACATGCGAATACTGAATAAAAAGCTGCCAACTTAGGGTATTAAAAGTATAACCATGACAGCACCAATTATTAAATAGTTCTTCCATGCCAGGCACTGGAAAGTAATTAGGTGCATATATAAAATACTAAGCATTCCATAAACTTGTTGAATCTTCAAACATTATTACGAGTGAGAACGAGGAGGCTTGGAGAGGTTCAAGCATTTCCCCAGGATTACATGGAAGAGCCGGAATATCTGGAAACTTGAATGTCCAGTCCCACATGCTCTTAACCAAAAGAGCTACATTTCTAAAAGCAAATGGACAAAAATAATGTAGGCCTTTGTATAACAAAGAATTCTAATAAGAATTTTAAGTTAAAGTTTTGAGTGTCTCAAAGACACGGAAATTATTCTTTTTGTCAATGTAGTAAATTAACCATGGTAATCATTTCCTTTGTCATAAAAGGTGTATATGTTCTTGGGGAAAATCTTCAATCACCAATTAAAAATGTTTTCCAAGAGAGCTGCACCATCTTTTCGAATCTGAATAGAAAGGATATTGCCATGTAAAGGAAACTGGCATGATTTTTTGAATTTCAAATTATATATGATTAAATAGTAGTGGAGCAAAATCCTGTTAGCATCTTGGCCTCGTTTACTGCTCAACAGCCCTGGGAGACTGCTTGGTGGAGAGAAAAGTGAGAGGGACAGAGCAAGGTAGGCTCCTAACACAACAAGGTGGTGCTGCCCAGACCACATACAAAGGGAAACAAGCATTACTATTGTGTGTTTCCTACTGTAAAAACATCTCCATTAAAAACCCACTCAATGTCTATTGACAGATGACTGGATAAAGAAGCTGTGGTATTTTTGTACAGTGGAATACTACTCAGCCATAAAAATAATAAAGTAATGCCATCTGCAGCAACATGGATGGACCTGGTGATTGTCATTCTAAGTGATGTTAAGCCAGAAAGAGAAAGAAAACTATCATATGGTATACCTTATACGTGGAATCTAAAAAAAAAGACAAATGAACTTACAAAACAGAAACAGACACAGACAACAAACTTATGGTTACCAGAGGGAAAGGGGGTGGGAAGGGATACATTGGGAGTTCAAGACTTGCAGATACTAACTACTATATATAAAATAGATAAACAACAAGTTTCTTCTGTATAGTACAGGGAACTGTATTTAGTATCCCGTAGTAACACACAATGAGAAAGAATATGAAAACGAATACATGTACGTACACATATGACTGAATCACTATGCTGTGGACCAGAAATTGACACAACATTGTATACTGACTATGCTTCAATTAAAAAAAAAAAACCCACTTAAAAAGCCTGCTTTGACTCCTTCTATTTTAACTCTCAGCTGGAGGTTATCTATGGCCTCCCTCTTTCAAGGTAATCTGGAGCCAACAGTGTACCTTTGGAGGGGGTGGTAAGGGCAGAGAAAGAAAAAAGCACCCAAGGTATTTAAATACGTTTGTGCATTAGAAATACAGTGATACGCATATGTGTGTTCACAGGGGTATGTGCGTATTTTTTTTAAGAGATGCTTCATGTTTGAATTGATCTCTGGCACAGAACACGTGAGGAAAGTGCTCAGCTACACCAGTGAGCCACAGAACGACTGCGTGAAAACTCAGAAACCAGGCTGCCAAGTTCCCAAACAACACCCTTGCCACATGACGTGTTTACGCCGTCTTCTCAGTATTTATCCAAGACCTCCTGAGTGCCCAGAGCATTAAGATTTTCAGAGAAATCCTTTTATATAGATGAGGTGACTATCACAGAAATTGGCTGGTTTGCTAAAAAAAATATGAAGTCAGTTTAGTGAGAGAAGATTTTTTTAATTGCTTTTACTTTATCTTGCCTTTAAAAAGAATCTGATGGGGCCAAGGAATCTTAGGAGAATTATAAATTATGGGGTCTCAAGTTTTATGGTTTTCTCCATAGCTCTGATTCAGTTTTTATTTCTTCACTCACAAGAATCTAAATAATCACATTAAAATGATTTGCAGGCTCACATGAACCAGGGGCTCCTGCTGCCTGAGTTAATTGGAAAAATCTGCTATGCATACTTAATTCTAGAATATAAAAATAAGAGAGCCACATATATTACATAAAAACACTTGGAACATAAATCAGTGAGGCCCAAATGCTATGCGTCTAGTTTGTCAGCATTCTTTTTTCTGTTTAAAGACGACACCCTACCTGGTAAGGGCAAGCTTTGGTGAGCTGGAATTCACCAGTTGTGAAATTAATCATCTGTGTATCGGTGCCAAACCTACAAAGAAAAAAAATGTGTAAAATAGCATTCAGAGCACCAAGGAAGGAAGAATTACATATAATACAAACACACACACACAAGTACATGTACCTGCACACAGACGCAATCCACCTGTCCTTACACTCTGGGGTCCCAGCCCTCACACCATACCTGACATATTCTAAGAACTCAATAAATACTGTGGAATGAATAACGCTGACAGCACAGAATGTAAAAAAGTATAAGGTGACAAAAGCTCTAAAGATGAAGCAATTTCTTTTTCTTTAAATGGTCCACAGCTATGGAACCTGATAGGAACTCTTGGCCAAGGACAGTTTTATCTCAGTGGACACGTGGCCATGTCTGGAGACATTTGTTTGTCGCGGCTGGGGAGGTCCTACTGGCATCCACTGGGTGGAAACCAGGGTCGCTGCTAAATACCTTCAAAGCACAGAACACCCCGTCCCCCTCCTCAAACACAGACTCCTCTGCTCTGCCACGTGAACAGGGCTGAAGCTCAGACCTGGGGATCAGGGGAGGTCTTACTAAGCCAAAAGAGGAAATGTTCTAGGTGGAACTGTGATTGCTATGCGAAAATTAGATGTAACAGACACAAACAATATTATCCCATCTTGTTTATTAGCAACATGAAATGAAAACGCACTAAACCAATAACGTCATTTCTCACGTTGCCCAGAGATCACCAGCATTTCGATGATAAATTTTAGGAATGTATGTGAATCATTGCGACTGCAAAGGTTCCCTGACAAGAAAAGAATATTCTGCTGGGGGCCTGGACTTGACCCAGGAAGACAAGACACCACAAGGTACACATAGCTGGGAACTGCCATCAGGGGTGTGCACAGGCAGCTGGTGCACAGCCACACACAGGCCCCAGGGAGAATGTGAAGGATGTTTCACAATGCTGGGTCTAAACAGGACTTCCCAAAACCCCTCCCCCCGAGGAGTCTTCAGGACTGGGCGTTACCATTTGTGGAGCAGGCGCACAGCGGCCTCGGGTCTGGGGTACAGGGAGATGGGCAGGAGCTGCAGGGAGACCGGCAGAGAGGAAGGATTCTTCACTACAAAGTACTTCACCTAGATGCAGGGAGAGGAGAGTCAGAACCCCGAGAAAGGCGGCACCGCTTCTGAGACATTCCTGCACAAACGTATCCCCTGCAGCTAACCATGCAAAGCAACGCAGCCATCAACTCGAGGGACAGCATGGAGAACAGATGGCCTGAACGCCTCAAAAGTGTCTGTGCTCTGACAAGATTTCTTTCGGTTTCTTTGTGTCATCTTCAATTTCCTTCATCAGTGTTTTACAGTTTTCAGAGTACAGGTAATCTCCTTGGTTAAGTTTATTTCTAGGTATTTTGTTCTCTTGATGCAGTAGAAATGTTTATGCCAGTTATACAATTCTGGTTTTTGAAGAGGAAAAAAAAAGTCTATGAAGGGCTGCAAATAGCAAAATAGCCTTCCTTCTTACGGGTGAGCTGTATTCCATTACATATATATGCTGCATCTTCTTTATCCATTCACCTACTGATTTAGGATGCTTCCATATCTCGGCACTTATAAATAATGTTGCTGTTAATAGTGGGCTGTATGTGTCTTTCTGAATTAATTCTTATTTTGTGGTTGGCTTTATTCCACTGACAAATATGTAAGCTTAAAAAGCTAAAGCTTTAAACGTTCTTAGAAACAATGAACAGTACATACATGTAAATTTTTAAAATATGTGCAGTATATCGTGTATATGTATTTACATGCAATATATGGTATATGTGCAGTCAAATTGTAACAATTCTACCTAATAAAACTGAAAAATGGAAAAAAAAAAAAGAGTGTGCTCCGAGAAGAGAGACTAAGAAAGATCCAAGAAGGGGAAGCCACCTGACCAGCCCTGAGAGATCCTGGATCCCCCAGCCAGGACAAAAAAAAGCTGCGAAGCCTGCTGGTGGGATAACTGGGAGAGCTGGAAGGCAGACTGCAGGTGAGAGAACATTATTATGATTAATGTTACATTTTCTGATTCTGATCATTATCCTCTGACACGTCAGAAGATGTTGCTCTACGGAAATTCACACGGGAGGAGTAGTTAGAGGTGGAGGCATAACGTCTGGCCCTCTCAAGTGGCCCCTAAAAATGCGTGTGTGTGGAAAGAGAGAGGAAGCCGTGGAGCGAGTGTGGCAAACGTCAGAGATGGATGCATCTTCGTGAAGGGCAATGGGGAGGTCTTGTCCCCTCTTGAAACTTTTCTCCAAGTTGAAATGATTTCAAAATAAAAGTTTCATTAAAAAGCAGTTTTAGTAGCACAGGGAACTATATTCAACGTCTCGTAGTGACTTATGGTGAGAAAGAATATGAAAACAAATATATGTTTGTTGCTATATGACTGAAGCATTGTGCTGTACACCAGAAATTGACACAATATTGTGTCAACTGACTGTACTTCAACAAAAATGTATATACTGAAAAAAAAAACAAGCGGTTTTAGGATGTCCTAAGAAACTCAACAAGCACCTGAATAAGTGTAACTTACTACTCAGACCACGTGTGATCTAGCTCTTGGGCAAGGAGGCTTACGAGACAAAAACTCAGGTCTGCTGGCGTCTTCTTTCCCTCTGCCCGCCCTCCCCACCACCCCTGCTGGGGGAGAGAGGCCCACAGTCGGGAGCCAGCGGCCGAGGATGAGGATGGCGGGGCAGCAGGCATCACCGAGCCGCTTCCCAGACCTCTCCCAGTGAGCGCCGCACCCACTCACACCTGCCGAGGCCTGTGTCAGTCACGATTCTCTGTGGTGGGCAGCTGAACACTTGCTCAGCTGGCAGATTTTGAATTGAACACAGACTTCATAAAATGTATTTCTTTTATGCACTTCCAGTCTGTTTCAGAGTTTTATTCCTTACTTGGACACCTTCCAACTTTAAGGGCTGAGTGGCAGGTGTGTGTCTCTTAAATTTAAAAGAATTCTGGTTCTGAAGCAGCATTTCAAGGTGGAAAGACTCTGGTAACGTAAAAACCCAAGCGCTGGGGTGTCCCTGGCGGAGAGATGAAAAGACACCGAGGATGCTCACCACGCTGCTCCTCAGGGCGGTGGCACTGAAGTTCAGCATGATGCCAGGCTGAGGGATCAGGCGAGGCAGGAAGGAAGCAAAGGGTTCTGACTCCCTGGATCGCTTCAAGTGGGCAAACCGTGTTGTTCCTAATACACTCCTCCTGGGTGATTCATAAAGAAAGAAATCATCAAAATAACTTGGGCAGAAAAAAGAGAAATCACTAAATATCACTCCCCCTAAAAGGAGTAAAAGGCTTTTGGAAAGAAAAATGGCTTCTTCTGGGTCTGGGGAAGACCAAGTACAGGATGATCCTGGAACATCCCGTTTTACTAGAAAGCAAGAAAGTGCTCGAAGAATGATGGGCATGTGTCAAAGGGACCCACGAGCGAGCCTTGAAGGACGCCCTCAGCCAAATTTGGGACAAGTTGGCATCAAAGATAATAATGATGGTAATGGTGGCAATAACCAAAAAATCCACAGTGATGCCCAAAAAGAGTGTAGAGTGAATCATTAGAAACCACCATTTTTGCAGCCAGCAATTCAACAAGCGATCCCAGGCAAGGATTATCGATGGTTAATAAAATCACAGTGGGAAACATTCTGAGGGAACAGGAAATGTGCAAGGTCTCCAATGATCACAGCCCATACAGCTTTTTACTTGCCAAAGGAAAAAACACCTACAACGGACAGAGGCCTGTCACACGTACAACGGCAAGTCAAAGGATTCAACTGCGCTACACCAGTAATGGGACCAAATGACATTGACAGGCGGCCTGAAGTGACAAGGACCAGGGCCAACCGAGTCATCAGCACTCTTCCCCAGAACGTTTAGCAGGAACGTTTAACAGGAAGGCAAACTTAAAGAAGCAACAGGCAAAATCCAGAGTGCTGAATGTCCTATGAGACTGGCTAGGATGCTCTGAAAGATCACTATGATGAAAAAGGAAGAAAAGGGAGGGGACAGTAGTCTAAAGAAAATTAAGGGAACGTGGCCACCAAATGCAACGCGTGATCCTGGATTTAAAAAAAAAAAAAGGAGAAAGAAAAAGACAACTGTAACAGATATTTGGGGGGCCAACTTGGGAAATGTGAATACAGAACATATGTTAGATAACATAATTGTATCAATATGAAGTTTGCAGGGTATGTAATGACAGTGCTGTTATATGTAGGAGAATATTCTCCTTAGGAAAGAAATTATTCCCTAATAAAGTACTGGAGGCTGAAGTGATATTGACAGTTTACTTTCAAGTAACTCAGCACAAAGGAAACGTGTGTGCGCACATAGATACGGACGGAGAGAGAGAGAAAAAAGCAAAAGTGCTAACATGTCAACAACTGGGGAGTCCAGAGGGGGAACGTTTGCATATTCACTGTACTAGACATTTCAATTCTTCTGAGCTTTGAAATTTGTCAAAATAAGAGGCTGGAGAGAAAAATCTCAATTATTAAAAAATTACGTACTGAAATTTCAATAAAGTCTAGGTTGAACTGTCTCCCCAGTGCTAAGTAAATGAAATGAAGAAGGGTGAAGACCTACCTGCAGACATCACCATTTTTAAATTTCTTCCATCTTTCATACAACTTATTTGAAAGTTCGGAATCCACATCCCAGGTAGACCGATCCAGAGAAAGGCTCCCTTCCCAATTAGGATCTTCTAAAAGTTAGATCAGATTTACTAGTTAGATGTACCAAAGAAAAAAAAAAACACCCCACAATTTGCTTAGTAAGTAATGCCAAGGGCTGAGTGTTCAAAACTTCTCAAAATGAGAGGCGGGTAAAGTGATCAGTGCCCCCCTCTCTCCTCTGACTACTGTCCTGAAAGCCCCTCTAACTCGATGGCAAATGATATACCAACTCAAACAAACATGCGTAAAACAAAACTCAATCGAATTATGTGAAGGTAATAACATAAAAGACGCATGGCTCATGGAGACAGCCTGAAACAAGTTAAAATTATACTTGGAACATGTTTAACAGCTTTCAATCTAAAAAGCTAAACTATCTCCAGGTCAGTGCTGGTCATCATCTGAGTCAGTTTACTCTGTTGAAGGCTGATGGACAAACGGCAAACCTCAGAAGAGGACACCAGCAGGGCTCCGCAGAGAGAAGGTGTGTGTTTAAGTTTATAAACTGGTGCCCTGCTCACCGCGCCCTCCTGGCCTATCCATTCTGTCTTGTCTGTGCTGAAGAGCGTTATCAGCATCTCCCAAAAGAAATCTCTGTACTAGAATGCTCTCCTTAGGTTAAATATTTTTAATAAGCCAAAAGGCAGGGAAAGACCTAGAGACGGCTTTACCTCAACGCCCTGGCCGTCGGTTCACACAGCACTAGTGCTCCCTGTAAGACGTTCATGCTCCTATCCTGACGTCTTCAAATTCAGTTTCACATTATTTTTTACCAACTTCTAGTTAGCCCTTTTATAAAGGAACCAGAATCTTCCAATTTTTCCTCGTGACAAGGTTGCTATGATGCTTAAATAACATGTCTGAAGAAAACCCTCGTGAAAAGGACAAGCCGCTTTAAGGGGGCATTAATTACCCGAGCACCTCAGATGTTTTTGGAGGATTCTTAACAGTATCAAGTCATTCCATTAATGATCATGCTCTTTGAGAATAGAATATGATGCAATTACGTGAATAGGACTAATGATTTCATCTACAGATGCTAATTTTGCTCACTACTTCCCACCCCACCCCAAACTAGAGTTCTACAGAAAACCTAAGGGCAAAATACTTACCCGCTTTTGATTTTCCCATGAAATAATGCATGCCACAATGTGCTATCACTTCAAAACCCAGACTCCCTTCCTAGATTGAAAAGTAATATATGAATAACTTAAAGCACAACACTAAACACAAAAACCCTCATGCACTCAAATGCGTAGCTGGCGTTGGCCTCCACCTCAGTGAGCTTCCCTTTTACCAGAAGCCAAACAACTAGAAAGCAGATTCCTGGCTTTCTGTGCCCTTGAGTGACAGCTCTCCCTGTCTCTCACAGGGAGTGGATTCTGTGCCCATAATCAATCATCATAATCAATGCCCAGAGTGACAAACCCTGGGCCCAACAGACACCAGGCTGCCTTCGGAATTAAGAGAACATTCTTAGTAGGGTTTTTAAAAAACTGTATTCTAATCCTTTAGTATTAGAATGCCCCGCTTCCTAGGTTAGGAAAATGCGGACCGGCAACTTCCACACACACCTGCAACCTGCCTGCTCCCATCCACGGTCACTCTGCTTGTAAAGCATCGCTGATTTGGAAGAAGGAAATTTCTATGAAACCTCCCCTGCTCAAAATAGGGATGAATGGAATTAACCTTGCGTTTTGTTTAGTTTCATTTTAGAAGCCCTGTCTTTATGCTTATAGCGAAACATGAGGCATGTCTATCTATGAAACACCAACGCTAAGTAAGTGAGAAAAATCATAAAGATGGTTGCATGAATGTCTCATAGTGAAAAATTAGAACCCAGCATTATACAGAATAGCTTGGATCCAAAAGAAGCAATAACAGTAACTAAATGAAAAGAAAGAAACATTAAGAAAAAATGAGGCATGTTTAAGCTAAGATTTAAACTAAATACAACAGACCCAGATTTTAGAAAGCATTTTAACTGTGGACCCTTGCAGGCTTTAGATTTGGCCCGTTAAGGATATTCAAGGATTGTCAGCAACTGAGAGTCACTTACCAGACGTCTAAATAAAGCAGTTAACAATTTAGTTTATCTGAAGTCATTGCAAGTATGCCCTAAAAGTTCAACTGTGTTTTCTACAGCAGGCACATACGCCTTGCTCTATAAATTCTGGAAATAAATGAAAGAGATCTTCAACTTGCAGTGTCTTATTTCATTCAAGAATTACCTCAGATTACTTCAGAAAAATAGAAATTCTTTCTAAATAAAGATTTCCATATCTAAATAGTTTATCACCTAAGACTGTCCTGATAATGTCCTTCAATTCCTTAGATAGCCTTCAAGAACATCATTTTAACCCGGTCAATAAAATCCAAGCACCATGAGATAAATTAATACAAAGAAACAGTCATTATTACAAAAATCATAACACATATATAGCATGTGGACAATACCTTGGTCGGGGCTGAGTAAATATGCAGAGGTATTACAAAACTGGCACCTATGTTGGTAGTCAGAAATACATGGGTGAATAGATTTATGGCAATGTCTTTAACAGCAAGTTTCAAAGAAAATATTTTCCAACAGCCTGGAGGTAGAAATAAAGGGCCAGTGAAATTCAGAATCTATAAAGAAAAGAAGTAAGAGAAATTACTTTCCTAAATACCACTAGTTAGGATTAAAATCATTATAATGTATCATACTAACGTTCTTTTCCACTTCGAGAAATACCATTTTATGCAATTATCTCCAGGTCAAAAATTGAAATATTTTTAGATAAGTGGTACACCTCACATAATATTTAACATGCCAGTGTTTTTAAATTTCACAAAAGTCATCTTGAAGTTTTCATTTGTGGTATTTTACAAAAACCTACTCTTTCCTCATGAACCAGGCTTATTTTTACTAAATATCATCTTTTTAGGACAAATTATAATTTACAATACTTTTAACTCATGGTAATAGCAAATATCTCCAATCGATATATCCTGGTCTCTGTGAGCTACTTGAACAACAGTTTGAAAAAAGTAAAGAGAGCCTCAAAGTAATTCTGAAAATGTGAAAAGAAAAACACTTGCTTTAAAATTTATCAGTAAAAATTACATCCTGTAAATATCAAGTTCACAGCATTTGACTTGAAACCAGTTAAAATAGGCTCCAACTTGGATGAAAGTACCATGTGTACCTTCCATGTGTACCTTTAAAATGTGCTTGGTCTCCTTGGAAACAAACACATCATGCAAGACAATGCTACGGTCAAAATGGTTGAGGTACCACATTGACCAAAGTCCTGACGCGTTCTCGTGAGTCTCCATGTGAAACTGGGTTGCAGAGGAGTCCATTCTAAAGTACCTGTGAACACAAGACGTGCGTGCCGTCAGCCCTGAGTGTGAGACCGTCTCACAAGAATCTCACGAGATTCAAGAAGAACAGCACCACAGAACATCAGAAAATGAACGTTAGCGCTGGAAAGGACGGAACCCATCACCTTCCTCAACTCTCCTGCCCACGGGGGAGCATCTGAAGGCCAGAGGGTGCAATGGGGCCAGGACCAGGATGGCTCACAGAGGCCACAGGGCAAAACTAGGACCTGAAAGTAACTCAGAAACATGGCGGGGGTACTTCTTCCTACCCCCACCCTGCACCTGGCTACCTGGCCGGAGCCCATACAAGACCTTCAGGTTCCTCCTTCCCACTCTGCAAACCACCCTCGCACTGCCTGTAGCAGGGAAGGCAAATCCTGAAGAGAGAATCAGATGAGTCTCAGTCATATACCTGTAAATTTTTTTTTGTACATAAAATACATAGGGGCCACGGGAAAAGATCGCAGCCTGCACCACAGAGCAAACGTCTTAAAACTTCGTACAACCATCCCTTTTCTCCAGAGTTCAGTTACATTTTTAAGTCATCTTTAGATGGGGAGGGGAAAAAAAACATACGATTCCAGGGAAAGTGGAATTAACCCACCCTTGAACCACAGGAGCGGAGAGGCAGGCTTTTAGTGTTGGAGTGTGTTTTGTTTCCTTCACATCTTCTTTCATTCCACTGTCACACGACAACGTAGCTGTTTGGAGGCAGAAGGAAATAAATGTGAAGGGTAAGTATCTCTTCTTTCATTACTGAAGGAAATGATAAACCACAATGTAACCAGTCTCCTGTCAGGAGATGCTCTGTTGCACAAACAATGCACATTTCTGCAGGTAGAGTTCTGAACACATACACGAGTGTATATGCAGATAAATTTCTAAAGGTAGAATTAAGGATTAAAGCCCATAACATGTACGTTCATTCATTTTCATAGAGATCACCAATTTTCCCTCCAAAAAGCCTGTATCAATTTATACCTGTGTCAAAAATATGAGTGCTTTTTTTCTTCCTAATCATTACCAAAATGGAACATCAACAGTCTTTAATGATCTTCAACAGAGCTAAGTAATAAATTATATCTCACTTATTGCCTTAGCATATCTTTCAGTATGAGTGAGGTGGGGCTTGTTTTTTATGTTTATCTGCATTTCTTTACAGAAATATTTTTAACTCTAAGTAAGAGCCTAAAGGATTAGGTTTATACTCCAGCGCTAGTCAGTCTGCACCACGTTCTATACAAAGAAACAAAACTGGGGCAGCACCACCTCTTTGTAAAAGCAGCACGTCCATCAGATGCATTTGCAACCTGGTCTTTCAAATCGCCAACTGAGTGATGGTTTACAAATTCAAAATTCTACACATGTAGCAGAATGAAAGCCACA